AATGTTGCTCAAAGGGGCTGTTCTCTGCTGATGTGTCTCCAGATGCAGAAGTATACAAGTTTTGTGGCAAGCCAGCTTGCTCTTACCCAGTAGCCATTCTCTGTGGAGGGTAGGGCCAAAAAGAAAGCGATAAGCCTTGTCAAAACTTCCCATCAGGACAAACTACAGAATAACAACCATTAGCAGTTGTAAGTTAGATGGCATGCTAAAGAGTTGCAAGTCAGGAGGGCCGATACTGCAACATTCAACTCTCAAGAACCTCCTTACCTGTGGCGTGGGGTGGTCAAGATGGTGTGCATCACCTGTACAGTGATGGTGGCTCCATATGGGGAAGTTAATTTTGCGGTTAGACTCAGAAAGTATTGAATCCATTTGTAGTTGATCTATAAAAAGAAGCTTTGAGACTGTGGAAGAATAACGTAAAAATTTACTTCTTAAACTACTAAACAAAACTAGACTCCTGAGCTGAATTGGCCACTCCTTGAGAAGGAAATGAATGATGGAAGTTCAATAATAACACGACAAAGAGAGATGAGAGCACGACAGTAAAACGAGCGTAGAATCTGGGTACGAGTAGAAAAGTTGAAATGTTGTTTTGAACAGGTTAAGTGGTTCCACACCCAAAAGAGAAGGTTATGGTTGGCTCTGGTAGCTGGATTGGAAGCAAGAGTTCTGCCTACGATAGGAAAGAGTCATCCTAGTAGACGTATTTCTCCCCTCCAGGGCTGGTCACTCTCTCTTCTTGTCTCTTAGATGTTTATGTTGTACGTTTCATTGTGATTAAATTCTCTTATGTTGCCAGGTGCCAGCTGATAATTTTGGTAGAATGCCCGATGCCGGGTCTCTGAAGACTCTGAGTCCCAAATAAAGTTTTTGTTTATAGATTTCTGGTTTTTTCAATTTCAGGTTGTTGCTGCAGAGAAGGCGATGAAAGGCGGTTTGCATGAAAAGTTAAGAATGACGGTTGCAGTGCCGTTACTTTGGGGGGTTCCTCCTGCCGCCGAAACACTTCACCTTGCCGTAAAGTGTGGTGGAGGAATTGTAGACAAAGTTTATTGGCAATGGGATTTCTTGTGAAAAAAAAAGAAAAAGATTAGCATCCCTTCCTAACCATTATTTGTGCATGTTGTACTTAATATTGCTGTATTCCCCCCATCTGTACAATACCAAATTGTTGTATTCCAAATCAAATCAGCCTCCTCCAGTGTCATTATCTCATGTATTACTAGCTTTTGACTCTTCCATTTGGCTACATTAAACAACTTCTCCATAAAAAAATTGATGGTGAGCAACTTACATGGCTAGGGGCAGTACAATCGTGACGTTCTACGCTAATCATGCAATGTCATGTAGAGAGAACTTCATATGTAGTGTTGTGTCATTGTGCAAGGCGCACCGATTGTGGTGTATTTGTGTCATGTAAGATGTGTTCGAACTGATGAAGGCCTTTATAATGCCTATATCTATTATTCTGTTCTATTAAGAGAAGAGAGCTTGTCAACTTTTTGCCCCCTTTTTTTTTTTCTTCTAATTTTGCCCTCACTTTTGAATACACAATGTTGACATGAGGAGGGCAAAATAGTAATTTTGTATCTTTTGACAAAATGACAATTATATCACAATTTTTCCTATTTTACCCCCTCACTTTTGATACATAATATTTACATAAAGAGAGCAAAATGATAATTATGTAATATTAAGAAAAATATGCCCTTATTAAGAGATCACATCATCATTGTCTTATACTCTTTTAAAATTTTTAAAAACTAATCACACTCCTTAATAAAAAAATAAAAAAAAATGAAATTGTTCACACACAAAGTGTGTGCTCATCTTCTAGTTAAATATTAAGATGACCGGGCAAGCTCTGGATGAAGGGCACGTTTTGCAACTTTGGTCATGAAGGTCAAAGCAGATTTTATACTTCAAAACCGTTTTTGTGATCTTAAAAGGTTTTTCTTTTTAGAACGAAAGTAATGTAATGAAAGCTATAATTTGAGGAGAATGAAATTGAACAAAAGATTACAGACCCCAGTTAGGGCTGGTTTGGTATTGCCGTGCTTTGAAAAAAAACTGCTGTGAGAATAAGCGGCTATGAAATAAATTTGCAGAGTGTTTGGTAAACTTTTTTGTAAAAGTGCTTTTGGAAAAAAAAAGCAGTCTGATAGTGGGTATTTTCATTAAAGGAGCATTGTAACTCCGTGTGCTTTGAAAAAAAGCCAGTTTTCCAAAGCTGCAAATAGCAGCTTCAACTTTTTCCTTTGATTTCAGCTTATTCTTACAGCAGCTTCCAAAATAAGTTTTTTTTTTTTTTTTTTTTTTCAGTTTACCAAACATCTAAAACCCTCACAGTCTTTTTTCATGAGTGCTTTTTTTTAAGCACCTCACTCCCAAACAACCCCTTAATCTTTTCAACTTTAATTTGAGATTCAGTTTAAACATTTCATTGAAAAGATTAATCAAGCAATTTTGGCCCCTTCTATTTTGGTTTTTAAAATAAGGGGCATTATTAGCGTGCAAAATCAAGCATCTGAGGTTGCATCACATTTGTTGTGGATTGCCTTGAAGATTATGATATTTAACTTCATTTCACTGCTTATTTGTAGGGTTCAAACCCTCTTCCACGTCTCAAAGTAGTTTAAAGTAGAAATATCAGTTGTAATAAAAAAATTAATAAAAACCATATGTGGATATATTTTATTACAAAAGACTGTCATAGCTAATATGCATAATAGGTAGTAGGGGTGCAAGTTGGGCTAGAATTTGTCTCCGAATATGAAATTTTTCTATCCGAATGAAAGACAAATTGAGATTCAAAAAGTTTCAAATTTGGATCTGAATTTTTACGAAATGTTTCAAAATTTCAGTAAATAAACTAGAAGAAAAATATAGATTTTTTTTTGAAAATTTTATCATAACAAGTTTGAAATATTTCACCAAAATTCAATACTAATACAATCTTAATTTCGATAGTCATATAATGATTGTATAAATACATATACTCATACGAGTTAATCTAACCTCCTAATTGTGATTGATTAAATAAATGTTGGTATTGTAGTCAAAATATAAAAAAGAACAATGAATTGTACACACGAAAAAAGTAGGAAAATATCAAAAAATTTGTAAAATACATAAACCACGAATAATGTTCTGAAAATTTCGGATTACTCTGATTCCTAAAATTTTGAATTTAGAAATATTCCAATATGATATGAAATTTTTGAAATAGATTTGGACCTTGTTTCCGATTTTTCGGAAATTACCCTTTAAGGGTGCGTTTGTTGCGCCGGACTGTCTCGGACTGGACTAGCTGCCGGGACTAAGCTGGACTGGCTTAGACTGGACTAAGCTGGACTAACTTAGTGAGCGTTTGGTGCAGTCTCGGACTAGAGAGGATAAGAAAAACAGTATGTTCCAGATTTGTGTTTGCTTAGAATAGGACTACAATTTTTGTATTGTGTAATGAGTATGCTACAAATCTCTGATTGGGTTATTGGAGATATTTTTGCCATGTATTATAATCTTAAAAAAAATTGACGATTGTTGTTTTATACCTGCTAATAGACATTGGGTTTAATTGCAAATGTAGCCTTTAACTCTTCACCCACAGAAGAAAATAATGGGCCAATACATGCACTTACTACAAGTCATAGATCTCCAAAATTTAGAAAATCCTAGTTACATTAGTTAACATAGCCAATAGATCTCCATATTTAAAAATGGCTTACATAAGCAAAATACTAGTGCAAGCTAGTTATAACATAAGACTTATGATTATAATTGTTAACGTTAAAAATAATCCATGTTAACATTAGCCAAATCCTCTCGCTTGCGTTGTCCTCTTAAAAGTCTTGCGAACACTTTCTTGAGTTCCGGTTTGATTGCCCTGAACACTCCCACATTTTTTGGTTTATCCAAAATAAGAGACAATGCATCAATTTGATCCATAGGAGAGAGACCATTGCTTCAAGTTCATTAGCTATGTCAGTATGATCTGCAGTACCTTGAACTAAGCTTCAGTTACCATTTGCATCCTCTTCCACTTTCAACATAAAATCTTCAGTCCACTGATATTGCCTCGGTTCATCACTTGAACTTCCCACAGCTCTTTCCTCTTCTTGGCTATTTTCAGATGGGGGGCTTTGTTGGCTTTGTTGGTTTCATTGAAGAAACAAAATTATCACCTCCAATATCACTTTCACAACATGACAGACTTTGTTCCTCCACATTTAGCAGGGGTTTCGGCTACATTACCCGTAGCCCGATCTTTTCCAAATATATATGCAAATCTATCAAACAGTGGAAAATGTTTGCTTCTCCATCCATCGGCTTCTTTATTTCTCTAAGATTATAAACATAGCAAAACTAAAATTTAGCATGCGTAACAAATATAGGAGCAAGAATATAACTAATGCCATAAATAAAATAGGATATGAACCTGCACATAAGTTGCCATGCGTCATCACTGTCAACTTCAACGCATTTTTTGAATCATTCCATGCAAATCCATGTTTTATCATGTCAAGGACCATACATATGTTTTTTTCCATTTCTTCAACTTGGACTCAATATGGGATTTGCCTTTATATTTGAATGAGGAATAAAACATTGACAGCTTTTGCTATTTCAACCAAAGTACCTTGTTTGAAAGCACCGGTGTCACACCGTTGCTTCCGAGCAACAAAATCCTCAAGAACTCCTAGTAATACTTCTTCCTCAATGCTTCCCATTTCGCTTCTTCTTTTGGCTCTTGAGTAGCATTCAAATATTTTCGTTATCCATACCTAAACAAAAATATTTTAATGAAGGAAAATCCATACATAATCAATTTGCATAAAATATCAACTTGCATAATAACAATCAACTTGCATAATATCCGAATTATTTGCATACATCCATCATTGTGCTAATCTAACAAATGCATGATAAAAAGGAATACTAAATAAAATGTTATCATTAAAACATATAGCTAGTTCGGTTGCTGGTTCATAATTGCTCTCCACTCATTATACATTTCCTCAGCCATATCATTCCTCATTGCAGTCCACTGGTCCGATGATTGAACACTACCAACATATTCACCTTCTTCTGTATTTGTCCATCTTCTATTATTGGCAAATTCTCTTGGATCTACTGACATCTCTTGCCTAATAAGATTGTGTAGTAGGCAACAAGCGGTAATTATTCGACTTGTGTCCTTATCGGATAGAAAGATGGACTCCTTAGTATCGACCACCTTCCTTTTAGCAAGCCAAAAACAGCGTTCAATTACATTCCTTGCCTTAGAATGCTTCAATGTTAAAATATTCTTCCTTATTAGAAGGTGTTCGTCCCTCCCAATCAGATAAATGATAAGGTATTCCTCTATAGGGTGCAAGGAATCCTTCACCATTTGTATAACCACCATCTACAAGGTAATAACAACCTAATGAAAAAAAAAAAAACAGACCTTATTAGTGTTTTGTAGTTGACAAACAGAACTAAACCTAACTTAGAAAGTTGAGAGACTAAGTAAATAGTCTTACCCGCTGGTACCTTAAAAACCATTAGGCCTACCTAATTGCATCATGTAGCACTCTAGAGTCTGATGCGGAACCCTCCACCCCGGAAACACATATATGAACTGCATATTCCTGAACACACACTAACACATTAGTTGCGACTCGACCCTTTCTTGTTCGGTATCTTGGTTTGTCAAATTTCAGGTACATGCACATCATGTGTGTTCCATCCAATGCTCCCAAGCAATTCTTAAAAATAAAAAATAAAAAACTTTTTGTTAATTTATACAAAGGGAATGAAGAGTTAAAGCTTAAGGAAAATGAAAAATATTTCTCATCATACCTTAAAACATCGCCACCTAGCATCTGTAGAATCAATAGGCACAGGCTGTGGGACTTTTAGTAGGAAACCTTGTAATCGCAAAATTCCTTGCAATACGCTATTGAAATACCTACTTATAGTCTCTCCCCGACCTATAAAATCTACGCAACACTACGATTCTTAGTATGATGTGCTAATATTTGTAAAGTCATACACACCTGTTCCTCTACAGACACCAAACCATCAGTTTTTACCTCCCATCTTGACGAAGTAAGTCGCATAATATGCCAAAAGTCCTTCTATCCATTCTCATTCGTTAACACATTCAGTATCAGTATTCCCTATTATACCATTCAGATAACACAAACTAATCTCTCGTCTAATAAGTGAACGGTTAGTCAATGTGGGTCGTTCAACATGTCTCTGTTTGCCACGTAGCATCATCACCACAAGAATCGTACAAATACAAATTGTTTCCAAATAAGACATCTCTAACAATAAGATCAATAAAGCTTCCTTCGATCCATATCTATCCAAACAAAACAAAAAACAAAAACAAATTAACTAAATCATTAACCCGAGGCAACAAATATACATATGGCGTTGAAAAAAAAAGTTTTCATTAACCGAGGCATCATATTCAAAATGTTCTA